GTAGTTAATAACATTCCCTTCCAGGAGGTTTATGTCACTTCTGAGATGCAACTCAACACTGCACGCTCCTCCCTAGTGTGTAGAAAGCTTTGTACTTTATAGAACATTTGAAAGTTGCATTTCATTTAATATTGTAAGTTGAGGAAAGCAATTTATTTTGTAAAGGAAAAATGTGGGTTTTTCCTTGCTGAAAATGCAGAATTTTCCAATACCTGCTTCAATATCATGATTGGAGACCAGTTAAGTTTTCATATTCATTTCCTTTTTAGTACAACAGGAGGGTTCCGCCCCATAGGCTGTCTCCTGAATGAGAAAGATTCTTTGCTAGAGGAAGTTTTAGTGATTAAAAAGCAAAAACAGACCCCAAAAAAGCCACATCTGCAGAAAGCATTGTTTTTCATGGGTTTTAGTTACTGTCAACTCATTTAATCTTTGTTTCCTCTCACCCACTTCCTTTTCCATTAATCTGTGCAAGGGAAAACATAACCCCCTACAATTATGAATATAAGAAGTATCTTTACCTGAATATCACATTTAAAATCAAGCACTTGAGAAAAGTTGGGACAAGTTATAGTGTGGGAGCAAATGGCTGATGTTGCTGCTACACATATTTCTAATATGGAGAGTTTCTTGTATTTTCTGGAAGTCTGGATGGTTATAAAATAGGTCAGAAAGGCTTTTATCAAAATATTTTAAAACTTATGAAAGAAGCAACAGTAAAATAACCTTTCACTTCAATTTTAACAGCTATAGGGAAATATTCAGTTAAGTGACTGTAAAAGCTCTGTGAGACATGGAGGAAATAGGAAACAGTGTGCACTTGCTTCTGGTGCCCCACCTTACACAGGGGAACTGGAGGAAGCTGTTTGTACTCTAAATAATCCTGGGTTTGATTGGATGAAAGAAGCTGGTTAAATGAGCTGTGCTTTACAGAAGCTCTGTGAAAGGCTCAGGTAGAGTTACTCTACATTGGTGATATTTGTCTTGCAACCATATAAGTCAAGAATCCCAGCCATGAGTCAGAATCCCATTGGGAGAGGAATGGTACAGCCAAAGAGCGGAAGGGTGTGGAATCTTTTTGGCTGAGCATCTAGGTTGCATAATGACAGTGTTAAGCTTTGTCTGTAAGACATGTCTCTGAAGATGATGCTAAAAGCAGTCTGGAGTGGTGTTGGTTCTGAAAATGAAAAGCAAGCAAGGGTGTCTGTGCGCTGTGCAAAACATTTCACTGTTAGCATAGAGGGAGGTGTGAATATTTCACTTATAAAGTATTAACTTTGTTATGCGTTTGTAGTTGTATTTGTGGGGTGTTGCAGCTGTTTCAGTAACATACAATTCTACTCTTCAGTTTGTTTTGCTATGATAATCATTATAAGTAAAGAATGCGGTTAAATGATTTTTTTATGATACCATCCTCTGAAGGAGGTAGATCCTTGCTTTTATGTGCCCCGCTCTTAAGTTTGGTCCATCTGTGGAAGCCTTACAAAAGACCACTAAGAACATCACCTATGGTTTTGTGTTCCTTTGCTTCTAAAGAAATGAATTACCAGGTGGTTGTTGGGGGTTTGGCTTTCAGGTGAGGAAGAGGAATGAAGACAGCAATTCAAATTGCTTGTGAAATAATAGATTTTAGGAATAATTAGAAAGTCTTCTGGAAAAAAATGCTGTAGTTAGATAAATAAAATAAAGTCTGTAGATAAATAAAGTCTGTAGATAGCACATTCAGGTAATCTTAAGAAAACCAAAATTTAAACCCACCACTATGGAAGATGTTTTAGTAAAGTTGTAAATGTATTAACCCCTCTCTTCCTCTCTGTCTTCCTTTAATTCCATATATGAAACAAGTATAGGATTGCTAAGTATATTATGATATTTCATTGTCTAGATAATATGCCTGCCTATTCAGTGTGTAAGGAAAACCAAATCAGACTGAAATCTTAACCTCATCTTCATATTAACTTCATTGGAGCCATTTCATTCACCGGTAATGCCTGCCTGCTGAGCTCAGACCAGAAAAGAGTAAAAAAGGACAAAGCTATGAGGGAGAAGGTATGAGATACTAAATAGAGGAATGAGGGCATTAGTAGGCATGTGGAGTCTCAGGAAATGTTGTTTCTCTAAGGTCCATTTTGCATTGTCTGCATTTTTTCCAGAAAGCAGCCTTTTCTCACATTAATTCTCAGCACTGGTTTCATTCTTTTTCCTTTCTAGTGTTCATTGCTGTTAGAGTAGATCATCGTAACTCTTTGTTAGGGATTGCAGAATGGAGGTTTCAAGCACCAGGAGTGTCCTGTTTGGTCATGGAAGTGAAATGCCATGGAAAAACCATCTGGAGATGGGTTTGAACAACAACCTTTTGCCATCAATTCCAATAAAACTACATTTCAGCTTGATGCCATGAGCCTTTAGGTGTGCAGTGTGCTGCTAAAGGGACTTTGAATTGCAACAATAGAAGGTTGCCCTCATGATTATTCATTGGACTAGGTAAAAAAATGTAAGTTGTTTCTTGAAACATGGAGCTATTCTCACATTCTTAAATCAGAGGCTAATCCTATCATTTTCTTCTTTATATATATAAAAAGTACATCTTTTTATTTTTCCTAGGTGAATATCTTATACTGGTTTTACCATCGTTCTAACTATTAGGTTGAGCTTTGCTGTAGAAATACAAATTGCTGTGTACAAAAGCTCTTTTTTAAACCTATTTTTGTATTTGATCAGTGTGTTTGTATATAAGGCTGTAGATTGTTATGCTCTTGCTCTGTCTTGCTGTTAGGCGTGTCAGTGGGTGAAGGAGTTTGGAAAGTTACACTAACAAGGGTTCTGCCCCAAATTATGGTGAAATTCAGTGTAACCCATTGTTTTTTTTCTGTTCTGGATTTAGATCAGTGCAATAACAGTAATTCCTAAATCACCTTTTTTATTTGATGAGTACTTTTTTCCTAATTATAGTGGTTTCAATTCCAAAAGCCTGAAAGTACTTCAAGTCCTACATACAATAAATACAGAATCATTTTTACAAGACAAAATTCAGAGAAGTAAATTGGAGCATGGAACAGTCTATACGGCTATATGGAAAGAGGTGGAAACGCTGGCTAAGAGTCCAAGTCCAGTTCTGGAGGTTACAAGAAGTGATGTATGTTACAGAAAAGAGCTGACAGGACCCAACTGAATAGCAGTTATTCTGTTTGCCTTCACCTCTCCTTGAGTGTATGGACAGATAATTGATCAACTCCGTTGGGTTTTCTCTGGAAGCATAAGGAGTTGAGATTTGAACCAATTGTTCTGTGGACTTCAGGGAATTGCAGTCCTTTAGCGGAGCACCTGGATTCCGCATCTTTTTTAGATTGCATAAACTGTCAATAGCATTTGTGAAAATGATCAGACTGGTCAGAAATTAATATAAAAATAAGAAACTCTATCCTCTACTTCTCATTTCAATGTCAAGTTGCATAGAAAGAGACGACTGCACTTACTACTTGGCTCTATTTGAAAATGGCTTTTTTATCTCTTACCTTGTGAAAGCTGTTTCTGATTCTGTGTTTGTTCGGGTTAGGCTGTTACTGTTTGAATAAAGAATATGTTTCTATATTGTATTATTATGGAATAGCTTTTGAGAAAGAACTGCTGTGTAATTTTCCCATTTGGATTTTTGTGCATCATTTTGTAAAGTGTCTGTAAGTTATAGAAACCTAGAACATGCAAGAGAAGGTTAAAGAGGCCTTGGTTAATGAAGACTAACGAGTTCTGTATATAGTTCTCTTAGGTAAAAATCATCCTCACAGAACAGGATATATGTACATTGACACAACTTCTGTGAAGTTTTTTGTGTCTGTGGCGTGCCTCCTTTACAAATGATACCCAGTTTAAAACAATTTTGGGTTCACTTTCTGAGAATGTCTTAGTATTACTTAGCTGTAATTCAGGAGAAAGTCAGTACAAGGATTGAAGTTATCCATAGTAATTCATAATTGTCATGGAGCAGAAATTTCATACTTAGAGACATTCTTTTTTGTTCTTTGGGATGAGCAAATCATGGCTTCTTTTTTTACATGTCTTGTATTTTGATTGTATTTAATCATACTCTAAATTGTGATGTTTCATTGTCAGCAGTCGCCCAGCAAGATCTCTTCATGGTGTTTTTGTTACCACATCAAAAGTATTCATAACTGCACATGCAGAATTCTAGCCTGACTGCTTACATCTGTGCGGGGTTTAAAGCTCTGTAAATAGAGATACCTGAAAGACTTAAACTTGCTGTGCTCAGTGTGTACACTTACATTCCTTATGAATGCTTAGGGTGGAAAATAAACCAAGTAAGTTTTCCACAGGCTTCTTGAGCAGAACTTCATTCTCTCAAATTCTTGTTTAGAAATGCTAATACCTACCTTTTGGTGTTAAATCCCAGTGCATGAACATATCCTCAACAGGAAGTACTCATCAAAGTCTGAAAGAGAAATAGACAGTTACAGGAGTACAGTAGTTGGGATAAAACAGTATCAGCTTACTTTGCACTTGTAACTGAGTCCTGTACTACCCTGAAGGTTTAGGATAGATTGCAGACCATCAGGAGTAGCAAGTAGCAGAGTTCTGTGTAGTCACATTCCTCCGGTTGTCCTTGGCTTCTTCCTTGTCTAACCAGAGATTTGTTGAGTAAACATTTCATGTTTGTATAAAATTGTATTAATATGTGTCTGTCCAGTTATAGATAGTATGAAATCCCTCTCTCATTCTGTTTTATGCATATTGGAAGCCATTTATTATGCCAGTACATGTTCAGAATATTAAAATTAATATTTTGCATTCTGAATGTCTGGATCTTTGAAAGTTTGTAACTACTTAATATTTGAGCAGAGCAACTGTGCTGTATTATACTACATTATATTATATTATAAACATAGCAGAGGGCTAATATGGACTGTATAGATAGTCTTAACTCTTGGAGTTCCTGTGTTTTGAATGCTTATTTTATGGTCTTGTTTTGTTGCTGTTTGCTTTAGATTGTTGGTTGCCAAATCAGAAGAGAGCCACCGGAGTCTACTGAACGGTATACTCGTTGGATCAATAGTCTGACTGAAGAACAACTTCTTACACAGGTATTCTTGCTTCAGCTGTGACTGAAATTACAGCAGAAAAATAAAGCAATGGGTTTATTTAGATGGATTTTCGTCAGTCATTAGGAATACTGGATAACTTATATTAAGCATTTATACTTGATAATATAAGTCAAGTATATCAGGTCAAGATAATACATCAAGTATTTGTCAGGTTCTTAAAGGTTAGTCTTTTCAGTAAATTGATAGTGCATGTGATCATTATGTATGGTGACTTCACAGTGAGAATGGAGCTTTCAGCTTTAGGTTTGGAGTAAGCTTCACATTTCTCACTGCTCTCTGTGGTTAAATGCATGCACTTCCATCCTCTAATAGTTAGTTTAGCTTTTTTTGTTTTAAAAGGTGTATTTAAATACAAAAGAAAAAAAATCTGTCTTGAAAAGGACTTCTCCCCTCACCAAGGTTAGGTACTGACTACTTCTGTATCTGTTTAAGTTTTTCTAGAGGTCATTTTAAAATAGCAGTTCTTCAGGCATAAAACATTGGGCTCATTATACATGTTTGTAAGTAAGATGCGTCTTGTGCAACTGAAGATGACAGTTTTGGCATAAAGAAAGGTGGTTTCATTAGGCAGGCGGCCAGTGCTGAACTAAAAGAGACTTTGGCAAAAACAAGTTAAACTGTGGAAGAAATCAGTCCAGCCTGTGGAAGAATATGTGTGTACTGAGTACTGTAAGAAATCTAATGGATGGTTAGCAGAAAGCATTCCAGCAGGCATTAAAATGCAAGTATTTGGGTTTGGGTTTTGTGATGCTACGGTAGGAAGACATTTGCTTTTGATTTTTCTGGTTTTAAGTGGCTGAAAAGATTAACATACCCTTGTTTGTTAGACTTCATTGTAAACTATTGTGTTCCCCATTACCCTAACCCCAAAAGACATACTTAAAGGCTCTGCTATGGTCATTGTAACACAAGAAGTAATCTATAGACCTTGTTTTAAATCAGCAGTGGTGTTACAGTTTCCTATAATTCACCAAGTGAAAGTAGTTACAGAAGAAGTTACCCATGGAATATTTGGATTTGTCTCTGAGTATAGCACTAGAAAAAACCCATCTGGATTTAAACCAGTGAATTAATCTGACTGCAACATCGGGATCAGTGTGTTGTTGAGGAGAAGAGAAAGAAAACCTTGTCCTACACAGTCCCATCTAAGTGGCCACTGGATGGGGTCTTTAATGAGTTAAACTGGAAATTAAAAGAACTGTCCTGGTTTTGAGATTGTTTAAATAGAGCTATGTAAAGAGAAAACTGTTTTTAGGATGAGGGTATATGTCTTCAGGAAGAGATTATTTAATCTAGTGTTTCTGATAGTAAGATACAAATGCAGTAACCTGAGAAGTCCCTTGCAATCTTATGTGCCTACAAATATCTCTTAAAGCCTCACTCAAGCAGCATGTGCAATCCATTATCTTTACATACGATTTAGATTCACACAATTTACAAATAGACAAGGAATTTTGGAAGATAGATTGGGTTTGGAGCTAGAAGGCTGCATAGCAGAACTTGTGCTACTAGCCCAGGAGCTTATTAACAAGATGAGATTTATAAAATCCCATTATTCATGTATTCCTCATTCATTGTTTTAAACCTGTTACCTGTTTTCCACCAAATTTAATGCAGAAATAGAGGTTCCTCAAAGACACCATATTTCTGAACATTCTGGAAATGTGAAGCTAGGCGAGCATACACTGCCCCAGCTGCAAGTCATATGTTGTTAAGCACCACAGAGATTTTAGGTGCCTGATCATTAGGCAAGCTTCAGCTGTGGCACAAGTCTGCAGGAAGCCCGGCTCTTCTAACCTGGGGCTACAAGAAGAGCTTGATTTCCAGAGCAGTGTATGGAGGTATATGGCACCTCTCCTGGTTCAGTATTCATTCTTCTCATCAGAAATTCAGGTAGGGAGGTTGTTATTTTGCTTTTCCTTGACTTAAAGAAGAATTGGAAGGAGAAGGAGGAACTGGAGTGTAGAAGCCATCTCAGCTGTGCTCTAATAATCAGGGTATAAATTCTGTAAGGTTAGGCCTGATTTGTCCTACTGTTCTACCTCTGGTATATCCCATGTTTTACTTTGGGTGTGCTATTTTTAAACTCTCTTCAGTGAATAAGCCCCAAGAAAACTATAATGATGGGCCTTTGCTAATGAATTTGTAGAATCTCTGGGAGGAGCAGTCCTTCAGGGAATTCAGGAAAATTGGCTTTAATTTACAGCATATTGTCTCCAGCAGTTTCCTGTAGTGAAAGACTGTTCAGCTTTTTTTAGCTGTCTCTCTACTCAGTGCCTGGCTTTTTTTCCAGTTGTGTTTCTGTATCATGCACATGCAAATTATTTGTGCTGTAAATCAGGAACCAAGTAACTGATTTAAACAAAGAAAATAGCCAGTTGTCAAGATCATGTAATCTCCTATCATAATATTCATGTTATTGATCAGTAATAGCCTACAGTGTTTGATTGCTTTATGAGACAGTGGCTGAAGTCCAGTTCGAAGGAGGTGGGTGGTAGCAAATGTTCTGTTAGGTGGTTGGATGCTTCATGAGCCTTGATGCTGGCTGCTGGTTTTAAAACACTTGTGTCAATACCAGAGTTTTGGATCAAATGTCCATCCCTGTCCTCATGCTGAGAAGATCATTCAATTCAGAAGGCTTCTAGCATTTTAACTTTTCTTTTCCCTTAGCCATGGCCTCTTGATGCTTACTCATCCATTAAATGTTTCTCTAAACAATTATACTGTAACATTCCAAAGATACTTTATGCTATGCGTGAAATTTTAGAATATAGACCCCAGAGAGTTTGGTGGGAGGAAGAGAGAACAAAGAGAGCATAATAATGAGAAAACTACTTTTGAAAGTTTAATATTTGCTTGTTTAAGGTTATATTCTATATATGATAAGTGAATAAAACACTTTTATAGGTATAGTAATATAAGCCTTAAAATACATGTGTAAGTGTTCAGCTAGACTTGCTATCTTTCTGCCAATAGTTGAAATGTATGTACATATAATTTTAACTTCTTGGGAAGTGCAGAGCACAGTGACAGGTACAGGAAGAAAATGAGCAAACAAATTAAGAGAACTGACTGTTCTGATGTTGAAGTGGAAAAAATGTAGATTAAAACTGATCCTACAGGATATCCAAGTCTGAATTGTGCTTGAAACATGATTGAAGTGTGATCATGCAGCCCTTCTTGTACACTGAAAATTTTACTGTGCTGTATAAGTAAAAAGGTCTAAATGGTTTTAAGGTTGGATTAATTCCACAAATATTTATACAAGTAGTTTTTAAGGATTGGTGCTGACTGTTACTAAACCAGCTGAGTTCATATCCATGTCTGTCAAATAACTGCTTTAGGTTAGTTTAGTCTCACAGCCTGTGGAGTATTAAATTCAGCTTGAAGCATTATTCCATCTGACCTACCATTTTTAAGTCCCCAGCGACAAGAGATTTTTCTGCTTTCATATTGTTGTTCACTTAGGAAGCAGACAGCAAGCTTAGAGTGAGAGGAGATGTGAGCATGCGAGGAGACTCCCAGAAAGGAGTGGGCCCTATGGTTGATAAGACTGGACTGTCCTAATTAAACAAAGGAACAGTCTGAACAGAACATGGTGATTCTGTATGTCTGCTCCATGGGACTGTGTCTGTACTGCTTCCTGATACATGCTGTACTTTGCGGATGATCTCAGAGCTCTTTGTGTTGCAGAAATGTGGAAGCTTTCACAGGTGATCTGCAGTTCTTACCAACAAACTCTCTGGACCACCTGATAGAAGAATGATGATTAACATGTTAGAGTTTTGTAATACACTCTTTTCTGTGCTGTTCTGTTAAATTTAGCTGATAGGTTTAAAAGCTATGCTACTCTACCTACTAAGCCTTCCTATATTAGACTTTATTTAACAGTTGATAAAAGTTCATGCTACAAATCAGCATTTACAGATACTCACTTTGGAAACAGATCATTTTGCCTGTGTTGGGCATGTAGCTTGCCTTCAAGGCAAGAAGGACCTGATAACATGGCTGGACCTTTTCCATAAATTCAATACACTCGGTATTGTATTGTCATTATGTATCTCACCAGGCAACTTCTTACTGGGGAAAAAGCCAGTAGGAGTAGATTGCACACAGGATGAATTTTTCCATGTGGGCCACAGATTGAATATCTCTGGCTTTAATCATCAATCTCAGACCAGAAAATTCCACCTTAGTGCTAGGGCTGGTTGTCAGTGTTGAGGTGGCAGTCTGAAAGTGGATATATGCGATGCCTGTTGTCTGGTTGTATTAGTAAAGGCAAAAGCAGGACAGAGGTAAGACTTTCATTACCTTAGAATGAATAGAAGATGAAAAGACTGACTGATATCCTCCCCCCCTGTATCTTTGTCACTCTTAATGTCTCACTTTTGTTTGTTGTCCTTCAATAAAAAAGGACTCGACACATGTTGGGATTTTTTGACACCATTTCCTTTTCCTTCCCCCATTTTACCTAAGAATTAATAGTGAAGTCCTGATATTTTTCTACTGAACAAAAGAACCGAGGCCACAAACTATGTAATTACAGTAGATTCTCTGGTTTGTGTGGGATTAAGCATATACCATGTCAGAAAAAAACCCAACTGCTTCCTTTTGTGGTTGATCCTTGATTCATTCTCCTCCAGAGGAGAACAAAGTTTCACAAGCTAGTCAGTGTTTATATTTACATTTGAAAATGCATGTCAAAGGGGTTCGTGGAGTTCTAGGAAGTTTAATGAGAAATGGCTTAGCCACATCTGTGAACTCAAAGCACAATTAGAACTTCCTAGTGAGGCTTTATGTAAAGGCGTCTCAAGGTCAGGTAGTTTTGAACTTAGAAACAGGTTTGCAGTCGTTCAGAAGTGCATACGGATTTTGCTTTGCGTGTTAGCAATTTTGCATGAGTTTAAAGGCATACTGTTAGGGAAAGAGTGTTAAATAATTTGGTTTTTTCCTTTTTGTATATTGATTGATAATTTGCA